ATATCTAAGAAGTGGTTTGTACCAAGGTTCACAGTACAGTTTCAGACCAATACTGTACAGGTCCATACCAGCGTATTGAGTGTTGCTACATCAATACCTGCCAAATTTTGAGAAATACTGAAAAATATTTAAAAGGAAACAAAAAAAAGTCTGGTACAGGGCCTGCACTATCCTGTACTGGAGGCATCATGTGGTTTACCTTGTCCATGTATTGGTAAGATATTGGACTGGTAAACACCATACGTACCATACCATACCGATGGTAGCGCAAATCTTCATTTATACCACATGTATATAAATCTTCATATGTATGTATGTATATATACCTTCCAATCGCACCATATCATGATATCAACCACATCTTTTTCTGAATAGTAGGACAAAATCTCAGTGTTTTTTATTCTTTATTCTGGCAGCATTGATGTTAATGGCTGCAGCGATGGTGATTCCAATCGAAGAGTTCCATCGACATCTTTCACGTTTAAGGTTCAGAGGGTGATCCCAACTTGTCCATCACAAGGCATGCCATAGGTATATTTTAACATCCATTTCTGCAAATATTGCACCTTGAGTAACATTAATGTTTGGAGTAGTAGTCACAAGATCTCACAACATCTCAACATCATCCTCAAGGCCCTAAGGTGGTTCTTAATAAAAGCTGTCTTGTTTCTACTCTACAAATCCTATACCATCGTTTGATGTGAGTTAGGACCAGGCATTATCTTTCGCAATAGTACTTGGAGGACTAAGTACTTGGAAGACTAAGTACCAATGGAGTTTTGAGGGAGGAATGTAGATCGATGTGCAGTAATCCTTTTAATTGGGGTTGGTGCTTTGACAGTTTAAATTCGATTGATGGTCACTGCTGTCTTTAAACATAAGATGTAATGTTAAATGTTCAAGGAAGCTGCTACATGTTCTATGGTCTATGGTTTCTCTCTTCTTTTGTTCTTGTGTTTTCTTGTTAGTCTTAATTCGGAAGATGATGATATGCAAGTAAACCATTTCATTTAGCTGCTGCCTCCCCTGTCCTTTGCCATCCAAAAATTTGGGCTAATTACATATTACCTTTAATAATATTTAACATTCTAGTCCTTACATTTTAAAAAATTATATTGTTATTTCTATAATTACGAAAGTAAAATATTCAAGTTTATTTATTATAATATTATTTTACTCACGAAAATATAAAAATATAATTTTAATATTCTGTTAGTGATGATAGACGACATCAATGATGGTGAACGATATCGTTGCTGGTGTTACGAATGGTTATTATGGATAAGGAGAGTGGCGATGAGAGGTGAGGGTCATGTTGCATCTATGTTGGCGTTGACATAGTTGTCGAGCAACGAAAGAGCTGTTTAGCATATGCATCGATTGTCCTTTTGTCGTTTGATAATTGCATCAACGCAGATGCAAAGTGGCCCTTACCTCTTATTATCGTTTTCCTCATCCATAATAGCCACCTGTGGCTCCAAATGACATCGTTGTTTGTCATCACCGTTGTCGTCTGTCACAACTAACGAAATATTAAAAATTATATTTTTACCTTTTGTTTTCGTATTTCGATTGGTAAAACAACATTAGAAGTAATATAGCTTTTTACCTCTTATTATAGAGATAGCAATATAGCTTTTTAAAATATAGAGATTGTAATACTAAAGTAACTAACTATATGTAATTAGTCCCAAAAACTTCTATCAGATGAATATGATTCATAATTTCATTTCTAGGCACAGCTTCAATTCCACACAATCAATCATCTCAATTGTTGCATCTAGTTTGTTGTATAAAATGTCTCCATGTTAATATACACGAGCAATATTATGTCTTAGGAAAGTTAAAAAGAGAACTACCAGTACAAATGACAAGGCACATAAGCATCTAATGACAAGGTAGGTCGACCTACATATTTACCTCATTCAAATAAACTACCAGTACAAATTTGTTTCATTGAAGATAAAAACAAATAAAATAAAAACAATAATGAAAAGGTCTTTGTCACAATTTTTACTAAGAATCTCCACCTTGGCTTGCAAGAGGACCATCTATAGTATTATAAATGGTATTAGACACCAGCCACTCTCATGTTACAAAGTCCTCAATTCTCCCAAAACATGAAAGTAAACCTCATGTTTTGGCTTCACTACCAGTGCAATCAACTCATTTTTGTTCAAGTAACAACAATAAGTAAACCTGATAAGGTTAACATGTACTCCTAAGTCCTATCAACCAGTGTAATTAATTCACATCTGGTTTGGGTAGAACTTAGCTTCTTTAGGGCCCCATTAGCTGCACAATCCAATCCATCTCATTTCAAGAGGATTGTCTTTGCTATTGTTTCAAATACATTATACTACAATAAGAAGGCTCACCAAAAATACTTCAGTATAAAGACCGAATGCATACATACGAATTAAATTCACCATATTATACAAAAATGGTTCAGAACAAACAGCGGATCTAAATTCAAGCAACATCCAGTTGATAATCTAATAGTGTTCTTAGTTGTGCATTACAACATATAATAAAAGCAAGTAGAACCCTACAGGGAGTAAGTAGCAGTTTGATTATTGCCCCTCGGTCTTTGGTGGCATGCTTCGCACATTCTTCAACAAGTCCTGGATTTTGTTCAGCATTAGAGTCTGTGCATGGTCGCCGCTGCCACCACTGCTGTTACCCTGCGGAGCATGCTGGCTCTCCTGAAGCTTTATCTTCTCATATAAATACTGCTTCTCGGCTTCTGCTTCTTCAAGACGACGCTTCAGGTACATACTAGCATAGTCCTGCTCAGCCTTCTCTGATTTGGCCTGTGCAATGCTCTGCAGTCTGTCAGCCTCCTGCTTGGCCTCGTTGGCCTTCAATTGGAACATTTCAGCCTCTGCCTGCTTAAGTCTAATGATGCTCTCTAGTTCCTCCACCTGTTGTTTCTTTCTCTGCCTCTCCATTTTTAGCTCTTGAACTTCTCTAGCCTTGTCCTCAAGCTCACGATCGCAGGCATCTAGAGCCAAACGAGCTCGCTTAAACATCCGCATTTTCTCCTCTGCAACCATCTCCATCTTCCTCACAGCTTCTTGGACCACCTCAGCAATTTTATTGCAAGCCTCATGTGGAGAAATCAGACGCCCAACTTCTTCGTTCTCAGAATTCTTTGGTGAATCTAATTCAAGTTCTGCAATAGACAAAAAAATAAGTAACTTAAAAGACTGCAGCAAGTGTTCTAGGCAAACCAAGCAGAATTTCGCAGAAAAAAGGAATGGTCATTGAAGTGTCTAATTCCAACAGCCTGACTAATTTGAAATTCTGTTCAAAGGCCCTATTGAAGGTAATAAGTCCCTTGCAAAAAATTACACCTTACAAGTTAAAGCTAGCTTTGTCAATGGTGATCATCCATCAAACTTTAGTTTCTACATAGAAAGAGGTTTTGCAGAAAGATACATCCAACTTTAAGTAACAGTTGCTACCTCAGTACCCAAGAAGTTAGCCTTGTAAAAACCCTATCCACTTGTTGACAAAAGTATACAGGACATGATGAATCAGCAGACAGCATGAAAGACAAATAAGCTCCATTGCTTCATATTCGCTGAATCCTGTGCAAACTAGCTACAGTCCATATGCATGAAATGTGCATCTTTCCACTGTTACACATATAATTCTCACAGCAGTTCTGTTTTTAGAACTTCAGAAGCCATTATTACTAAGGCTTACATTATTTCATTAGGTGAAGGGAAAAAATGGACCACAGATTTTAGACATGAGAATGAAAAAAAACAATGATGAATTTTGGTCAGCATCAACTATAACATTTTTGCAATCAAGAAAACACAAGCATTTGCACTAATAAGCCAAATCAATTAAATTATTTACATGTCATTAGGAGGCAACTAAATCCTGAATCTTAATACATATTATTCTTACAAAAACGCCTGTCATTTTCTTAGATCATTTTTTCATGACTTATGACACAAGGTGGCCTTCTTCACACCTAAGCTACCTAAGCTCCAAGTTGTTTCCACACCTTAGTGCTCTTAAAACTTTAATAATTATGACCTATGAAAGTTTTCATTCTGTAAATGTCACCATAAAACCACCATTTCTAAGAAACATGTTGCCCAAAAAGCCCAATCTTTGTTTATCTGACATATCTGTCATTGTCTTATTAAGATAAAAGTGAAAACAGTATTCACCATTGTCATAACCACAAAACATTTAACAAATATTTATGACGTGACATTAGGACCGGCTGAATCATAGTCCTAGTCACAGTACCACTGGAAAAAGGAGTAGATGCAAGTGGCATAGGAGAATAAATGGGAAAAGCACTGGTTCAAATGCATACTGACAGATGCATCAGAACAATAATTTGCAAATGATGCTAATCTCAAGTTTGATTTTAACAACTATCTTATTGCCGGGCTGGCTTTCCCAAGTAATAGATGATAATTGGCAGTTCAAGTGTAATTTTTACTTGCATGTAGGTTATATTTTTTTGTCCCATACCTTGGAAAAAGAGAAGGAGCATTCTGCAGGCCACGGATTCGGCTTTGCCACTTTTCAACTTTTCTATTAGTTCACCACACTTGCGGTATAATTTTCTTCCTTTAGGGTCCTGACTCAATTGAAAAATCTTACTGACAAAGTCAAGTTCTCGCATCAGGATCTCTCGGTCCCATCCAGGAGCGCACTGCTGGAAGACATCTTTAACCCAACCTAACAACTCGGATGTTCTGTGGCATGCTTGGCACCTGAAAAGCATCTCTGTATGGCCAACTCCGCTCTTAACAGACTGACCTGTTCCAATTTGGCCAACCCGCATGGCACAATCTGTGTGAGTCCAGTGTGTGCATGTATCACATCCAATCCAGCGGCATGTATTCACCTCAAAATCAAACTTGTTGCAGATCACACACATACAGAGATTGCAGAAACCATTCCTACTGGAACAAATCTCACAGCTGCATTCATCTGCAGGGAGAGCACTTTGACAAGCAATGTTTCTGCACCTCTTGTACAAGAAAACCTCGATGAGGCGACTCTGTGGAATGCTGACGCTTGGATGCAAGAAGGCCTGAATGCCTGAATTGATTGCAACAAGAATTTCCAGTTGCACACGATGAGCACCAGCAAGGGATTTGGCGGTCAGGTCAACTCTCCCCTGCACAAGCTTCTGAAGATACAGAAACTCCTCTATTTGATGAGAACCACCTGTACCCTCAAGTATCTGCCGAAGCTCACCCTTAAGCTCCTCTAGAAGCTCATCTGGCATGACCTTGATTTTCTCAGCAACAACATCAACCCTGTCTCGAGCAATTTCATGGAGCGATAACCTATTTGCGTTGGAAACCCTCCGAATGACCTGCAGTTTAGCAACTTCATTCTCTCCTTCCTTTTCCTTCTCTATTTTATGTCCTCCAATGACATCAGGGTGGTTTGTCTCAATGGGCCAGGTTTCACGAGAGCTGGCGCTCTCTGTGGGCGAGTCTTGCCCTTGGTCAGAATTAGATCCTGGCTCTTGGGTGTCGGGTGATGCTGCAGGGTCTGATGAAGCCAGGGAAAGGGATGTCTGCAGGCCTGACGACCTCGGATGCTGGCGTGGTGGTAGCATAGAGAGTGGTGATTGGTGGTGGTGATTTGTGACAGAAGGGGTACCCATTTCAATTGTTGTTTTCTCAAAACTCTACCTGCCACATTTCAAGGGTTTGATCAGCACATCGGAATCACTTGAGGATTTGAAATCCTTCTCTAAATTATTATAAATAACAAAAAGAAGTACCCATCAAAACTGAAAAAACACTTCGTGACGGGTTCATGCATGGATGCATGAAAAGGAACGTCCCTTTCCAAGATCCAATTCTTTGTCTGATGCATAGTGCCAAAGTCTAATTTTTCTTGCTCGACAAAACAGTCGAATTATATGTTTCTACTAAAAAACAATCAAAATATGCACGCAAGAAAGCATTTATCTACGAATTGTTGAAACTAGAAACCAAGATGAACATCAAATCTAAAACGCTTTAGCATGGCAACGAACCTCCGCTCCCAATATCCTAACATTTTCAGAACATAACGACAAAAACGAATCTTGCTCCAGAAATCAGACCAATACATGCCTCTGTAAAAGAATACGCATTTCCAGATTCCAAAACCCTAATTTAAGGTAAAAACAGCGAGAGAACCGAGAGAAGGGGAAGGACAAATTTTTGGACGAGAAAACCAAAGAGGAAACTACTAAAATTTCTATTAGGATGATTCGCCACAAATTCAACATGGCGCCAGCTAAATCACCAGAACGAAAGCAGTAATTAAGAACCCCACAAGCAGAGATTCGATCCCCAAACCAGAAGGTGGACGAATTAGGGTGATCCGCAGCAAGATGGCATACCTAGAGCTGAATTCGACGCGGAGAAAAGCCGCCAGAAGACTGCAGGAAGACCGGGAGAAGAGGGATCGACCGAATCCAGAGGAGTGGGAGTAAAGAGAGGGGAGAAGAAAGGGATTAGGGTTTGCTGCGATCTCTCCCCACCCTTTTCCTCTGCGGAAAGGAGGGCGGAGCGGGTTTCAACTTTCAACGCGTCAAATGCGATGACCGGCGCAACCGGGGGACAGCAACCGGATGAACTCGTCGCGCACCGCGTCGTGCGAAGGTGATGTTTCTTTCGGCCCCACCCTATTATCCACTAGCAACATGCCACGTCATACACGATGATGGGCAATCCATTACTAAAGCCCGGCGGGAGGAGACCGGGTTAACCGGTCACATACGCGTCTTGCCTGTCGTCTTGGAGCGTTGCCGAGTCGATGTTCGTGGGCCGGCTTCTGTCTGCATGGTGGGCCCTACAGATATTTTGTTTTCAAAGGAACCCCTGTCGAAAGAAAATTTTACAAGTATATCCATCTCCGTTGGCTTCGAAGACACTACTGTAGAGAGATTGTTTGTGCCAAAACACAAATTTAATATTATTGAATGACCAACTCTTTTCCACCATTTGATACCTTTCCCCACCCACCCATCCTCCTCCTCAATCTACCCTCTTAATTTAATTTTCCATGTATGTAGATCTAATTTTTCCCTTCTCATCTTCTTTAGTCAGAGATAAGCCGCCTTCCATGTACTCCTGGCACTTCTATCTTGAAGGAGGGTAGATGTCCTTTTACCAAAATGCTCATAAATATAAAAGTTTTATTGGGAGTGCGATATAGAATCTTTCTATTTATTGTTAAGAGATGAATTTATCAGAATAATATTTCACTATTTACAGTTGGAAAAATACACTAATGATATACGTTGGTGCCGATTATCAAGTATCCAATTAATATATTACAAAATATAAATTAATTCGCACCACACATATTATTTTCTTTTAAGACAGACTTTTTTTACTTTCTTGTTATCCTTACATCTTAAAAAAATAAATAAAAACACTTTAATTCACCATCTCTTTAGTGTCATTATGCACCTCCTGCACTTCTTTACTTAGAATACCTTCAAACATCAAATCGGACATATAATAGAAGCATATGATTGTTCATCTTCTGGATTATTAAATACAACTATTTCTATTCCTATTTAATAAACACTCTCAAATCCTTCTGGTAATTGACTTCTGTTTTTATTTGTTGAGATAGCTCCATTTTGAGAACATCACGGGTATTACAATCTTGATGCACTGTAAATTTGGCGCAACCTGATCAATCTAACATTCCCATGGTTGGGAGCCATTGTTCCGGTGGTCTTCTTCCGGGCTTCACCACGAACTTGTTCTTAAGCCAAAGAAACGGTGGAATCATTGCCTCGTTTGGTTACCTTTCTTGTCGACCGGCGAAGGAGGATGGCAGTTTGCACGCATCATCTTCGCCTTCTTCTTATCCATTCTGTGCACCGCACTCTCCAATTGTTCCACCCTCTCCACCAGCCCTGCCATCAGCCTGCACTGCTGCGAACTCCGCTCAAACAACGCCGCCACCAACCCTTGCAGCCTCTCGCTCTCCGCCATCACCTTCTTCGCCGCCTCCCCCATCCCCGAGGCGTCCTTCGAATCCTTTCTTGGTTCCGCCATTGCCTGCACCGAATCCTCGGTCATGTGCCATCCTGCAGTCGATATCTCGGGTGCTTCCTCTGCCGGGGCCGTCGTTGGTTCCCTCTTCTCTTGCTCCATTGAATCAGAAAGTGCTGCTTTGTCCGTAACGACATCGCCGTCTACGCATTTTGCTCCCCAGTTGGCCTTCGACAGAGGAGTGCCGGTAGCTTCCTCCACTGTTACCAACACGAAGCCTTCATCCTTTGCTTCCGGTTCTGGATCTTGGCTAGCTTGAGAGGCAGATTCATGGGCGGCATTGGAGTCCGGATCTTGACATTCTTGAGCCGAGGCTTCTTCGGTGTTGGCGCCATCGGAATCGTCCTCCTGAGGCGTCCCCTCCACCTCTTCACGGTTATCTGGCTGCATCTCCGCCGAAATCGGTGGTTCAGAATCAATGGGATCCGACGATTCAAGGGTCTGGGCCGAGATCGAATCCAGGGCCTCCTGGAGCGCGATCACCCTCCGGATCGTCTTCTTCCGGTACTCCCTTACCCCGCGGACAGAGTCCAGACGGAGGAGCAGCGCCATCAGCATCTCGCCCACCAGCAGCAGCTCCTTGGGATCCACCCTCAGCCGCTCCATCTCCGAGCAAACCCTCCGCTCGATCTCTTCCACCTCCGTCGCGATCCGGGAGACGACTCTCACGTTCTTCCGCACCATGTGGCCTCTAAAGATCCTCTGAATGGCAACAGCCGCTGACGACCGAACCGCCTCAGACGGCGGCGCCCTCGCGGGCTTCGTGACGGCGGGAACCTCGTCCGACCCATCGAAGTGGTCGGGCATGTAGACGACGCGAGGTTTCGCAGTGAACACGGGCGCGGGGCAGTGTGGGTGGTGGCGGCGGCCGGCGGCGCTCCATGGGTCGGCGGCGTAGAAGAAGGGGCTCTCGATGTGCCGGGACCGCGGGCCGCCGGCGGCGCTCCATGGGTCGGCGGAGTAGAAGAAGGGGCTCTCGATGTGCCGGAACCGCGGGCCGCCGGCGGCGCTCCATGGGTCAGCGGAGTAGAAGGAGGGGCTCTCGATGTGCCGGGACCGCGGGACTCCGGCGGTGCTCCATGGGTCAGCGGAGTAGAAGGAGGGGCTCTCGATGTGCCGGGACCGCGGGACTCCGGCGGCGCTCCATGGGTCAGCGGAGTAGAAGAAGGGGTTCTCGATGTGCCGGGACCGGCGGCCCGCGGCGCACAATGGGTCGATCGAGTAGAAGAAGGGGCTCTCCATGTCTCTGCGTTGATCGAAAGCTTAGAGAAGAAAAATGTTCGTCTTGAATTGAGATCACAGAGATGTGTGTATATATACAGGCACGGTGTGCGTGGAGAGGAAGCAAAAGGGCACGAAGAGGCTTCTGGAGGAAGTGTAGATACGGGCACGGTGTGCGTGGAGAGGAAGCAAAAGGGCAGGAAGAGGCTTCTGGAAGAAGCGAGAGAATGAGGTCCGGGAAGAAGGTTCCACTTCCTTCTAGAAGGCGCGAGAGAGGGTGGAAAAATATTGGACTATTTTCCATCAAAAGCCCAAATAGAATTCGACTTTTTGATATGATCAAATTTCATAATATCGACCAAAAATATTACAATGCTTAATTAGTTCATATCTCCATCTGATCTTAATCATCAACTATATTATATGTTTTAAGATCTCATAAAATAATCCATTTGAAAGTCTCTGCATGATTTTGGATGAAAATAAAAGAGTAATCACTTAATCTTACCTATGGGTATGTCCATCTTGAAAAATGTTATAATATTTGTTTTAATTTATTGGGAAAGAATGATCATTTAAAATGGTAAGGCATTCCTAATTACTATGTTTTCGAATGGACTTAATGGTGGACTTATGTATAATCAAGTTTTAATCTATTTAAATCCCCACAAACCATAATATTTAATTTTAGTATACCTTTTGAGAACCTATAAAATGATTTATTTGAGAGTTTTTGAATGATTTTGGATTGAAATTAACAAGCTTTTGAATATTTCACAATAAAGGATGACAAATCCCCTTCATTTATTATGAAAAATAACAATGAAATTGATGAGATATTACCTAGTCATAGTGTTTTAGTTGGACCAAAACACTATAACTGTTCTAAACATTGTTAGTAAGCTTCAATTAATTTAAATACCCACTAACCTTGATTATCAAGTTTATTATAGTTTTTAAGGTTCATAAAATCATCTATTTGAGAATTTAAATTGTTTTTAACTGAAATTGGGAATGTTTTTGATGTATTTCAAAATAAAAGATGACAAATCTTTTTTTTTATCATTTATCCTTAATTTTAATCTTTTTTGGGAATATATTATAATATTTGTGTTAATTTATTATGAAATAATGACAATAAGAAAAAATATTGACAAATATTGAACAAAAAATACTCTAACTTTATTGACAAATATTGTAACTGAGCTTTAATGAATTCAAATCCCTACTAACATGATATCAATTTTACTATAGGTTTACATTTACAAAGGAAAAGACCTTTTTTTAAGGGTATTCTAGAAGAATCCAAAATATGATGCTTTTCTTTGAAATTACTTTTCCTTTTTAATTTAAGATTTTTTCCTAAAAAAATCTTTATTTTTCAATATCTAAAAATATAACTCGATATTAGCACACATAAACTAATTTTTATTTCTATTATTTATTCAATAATACACATAAACTAACTTTTATTTCTATTATTTTATTCATATCATATGATTTGATAAATTAATGAAACCCATATTTAAATCCTAAACTCTTAGTATTGTATGTAGCTTTTGCTTCCAAGTATGTCTTAGAATATGATGTCGGGTTATGTTTGATATCCTTGATAGAAATGAAATCCCATAATTGCTAAGATGCGTATGTGATGTATAGTTTGAACAGATTGGCCAAGTTGGGACGTCAAACACACAGCTGTTTACCAAGTTCAGAATCAAGCAGCATAAATTTGTCTTGGATCTATGTATACACTGACATGTTGCTGATTGAAATAGTGACTTGAAGGGGAAAAAGGAAGTATCAAAACCAGTATTTTGGATACAATTGGATCATTACAAAGATAATGGCATGTATATAATTTACAAAGATATCAGTTGACACAGGTTAGTAGACATATATCGGTATCGTACTGATTCAATAAGTTATCGAAATTGATACCGGAACCAAATTGAAGTCCTTGGCCAGGGCAAGGATTATGGCCTTTCCAATATACTCGAAACACCGTGGCATTACTCCAAACTTGAACCAAAAGGAATAAGAGGAAACGAGGCAGGAGAACAACAAAGGGTTAAGAAGTAGGAGTAGTTGCATTTGGAGCTCAAGGCTCTACCTTCAGGGAGACAACCCGTGATCGTCTTTTGCGCTTTGCCACCTTTACAAACACTGCCGACAGGCATTGCGGCACCCACCATGGCTTGCGAACTTCTTGCTCCCCTCTCAGGCATGCAACTGCATTTACATGCAAGTAGCAGATTTTAGAAAACCATGACTGTTGAAAGAGTTTGATCACTTGTACAAAAGAAAGAGTTAACATAAGTGCACCAATCTTTATAGCAGAAACAACAAGATGGAAGGATTACATATTGATCGTTCGAACAAAAGAAATAGGTGTGATTGCATAAATGCACCAATTTTGTGGCAAAAACAACAATATGGAAGAATTACTTTGTGTCAAACAACCATTACTTCAGAACTGGAGATCATATGATCAAGTTATAAATGTTTCATCATCTTGCAATTTATCTGTATAGTTGAAGAAAGTGAATGGTCAATCAAGAGAATCATGTAAACTATGAATTGTTGTCCCCACAATCTAATGATCCTAGCAATAGGATAATATCTACCACCCTACACCATCTATGCATGGAGTTGCATGAAAATGAATTATAAACTTCAGTGAGCTTTTTCTAGATTTTTCTTCAATGGATGCATGCTCTAAGACACTCATTGCTGGTTAATCATTGCTAAATTCCATGCGACTTCCATTCAGCCAACTTGAATTTAGCATACCTAGAAGTAAAAGCTTGTTACTTCTGCGAAAAAAAAAAGTGTCAATGTAATAAAGATAGAATCTCAGTTTGCTTATAGCATATTTTCTGATAATAACATTGCTGTTCCACATTTTCTTACATTATACTAGATAATTACAGCATTGTTCTCTATAACAACTTCCATGAAAAGAACAGTACCTGTCACGGATAAAAGATTCAATAGAAGAATGATGGATTTATGAATCTATTCAGTTCTTTTAAAAAAAATTAACTGCCACACCTTAAAATATTCATGCATTTCAAATTTTGTCAGATAAATAATTGTTAATGCCCTCTTCAACTTCCTTGATGAAAAGAAAAGCAAGGCTACTAACTTGCATCATTGAGAGAATTAACAAGAAGCATGAAATTTCATTCAATCACTACAACCCACCATTTACTATCTTCTGAGTTACAAGCTTTTAAACTAAGTTACAGCAAATCACCAATTTTTGTAGATAAGATCATTAATTAAAACAGCAGAGCTTTATCGTTCCATCTTTCTTTTTGTACAAGCAAATAAAAAATTAAGCAAGATAATACTAAAGATGGATAATGGACCGATAAGCACACATAATCCTGATGAACTTCTGACAGCCACAGTATGTAACAGCTACAGAATCAGGTGTGGTTGGACCTGGATATCACTTGCATTCTGGCCCAAAGTAGGTTCAGAAATAAGGAGATACAAAAGTTAACATGATCAGTAAATCGTAAATTAAAGAAAGCCAAACGATAGTTTAAGTCTATTCCATGTTGAAATCAAATTAATTATTCTTAATAAAAGATTGCTTAAATCATTTAGTTCTAACTTATCAAACATAGAAAAAGAGAGTATGATCCATGGCAACAAATTAGATACCTGTTTTAAACAAATTAGATATGCAATCAAATTATTGAGAACATCATCATTAATGTAAAAACTATGATCTAGTTACAGGCTCCATTACAAAAAATAATTTTTTTGATGACATTGTATAGAAGTACATATATTTAAGATTAGTAACATAAACCAGGTTTGTGTGTCAATACCCAGATCATTTTTATCAATGTGTCATATTTAGACCCATACCATGTCCATATGCCCATAGCTCGAGTTCGGTCGGGCTGGGTTGGATCCATGTAGGGTCCGGATTGGGTACAGGTAAGTGGGGCTTAGTACCATCTCCAGTGACAACAAGCAAGTGCAAAAAATATTGATCTCAAAGCAATCAACAGAGAAAGTTTTGTTACAGTAACAAGATAAAGAGTAATACATCCTTTTGAAAGCAAAAAACAACAGTTGTAAACAACGTCACATCATTGTACCCATGATTAGGTTTTGTATGATGCTCGTCTTCAGTTTTAGAGGATCTTCTTACAACTACAGTGGCACATCGGGAATGCTAGGTTAGTGGGAAAAAGTAAATGAGATCATGAACAGTAAAAAAGATGTTTATGAACAGACTATTATAATCAGAAAACAAAAAAAACTGCTTTTGCAGCATCACTTGTACAGTTTAGGAGTACTTTTCTAAATTCAAAAATTTTAGGTCATGATTAGTAAATATTTGGTTGATGCAAAATGAAATCTATTATACTTTGTACAACTTATGATAGAGGATTTCATGAGTTTAGTGTATGAAACAAATCATTCACATTAAATGTATAAAGGGACACTCATGAAGTGAAATGGACCTAAAAAATCAATATACATAAGTCCAACCTTAATTTCACCCTCGAAACAAATCAACAGATCTAGTTAACTTGAAGTATTAAGACAAAATTTTGATCCAAATCCACCAGACCAACTAATGGATCAATTATCAACTCTAATGAACAGGCAGTTTGATAACAGGTCACCTTAACCTTTATCATCAAGATAAAAATTCTGATTTCTGGTAATCACTTCAAGTTTTTGTTTCCTTGTTAACTGGTTGGGTGAGTCAAGAGCCAAGATAATGCTTCAGCTTAACTAAGTCAATGAGGTTACGTATCAACTATCAACTAAAAGAGGTAACAACATGAAAACTTTTCTTTGTGCAACAGATCTAGTAACTGTAATGCTTATTCCAGCAACCTGTATGAGTTACAAACTATTTTTGTAACTCTTCATTGTTTCCTTTTTTATATGTCAAAACATTCATCAGTAAAAGATCAACAACAAGCCAACATAAGGGTGGGCTGTATCTTGAATTCCAATAAGCCACTAGTGACAGAAACCTTGACTTTCTTCTCGAGTATTATCAACCTTCAGCTTTCACGGTAGAAAAGCATGCATATGTTCATAGGAAAAAGACATGAAACACAAACTGTAGTGGCTAATAAGTAATCGAAGATGTGAAAGTTCTTCAGTTATCGAATGCCAGATGAATTTTCACAACAGCCAAATGGTAGTCAGAAAAATTATATTGGAGGAAAGAAATCATGCTAAGAAACTATGGACATTGATAGAAGAATATAACCTTTTATGCGCCTTAACTCTTTGCATAGAGTAATAAAGTCACCCCACTTCATGTGGCAGCGCCTGATAAACCGCAGAATTTGCTCTGTTGTAAACATGGATAAACTTTCTAAGTACTCCCCGTTTACCCCAGTGTCTTTGAAAACCTGGCAGTAGCTACCAAGATTTATCTCTTCAAGCCATAATCCAACATCCTGAGATCACATTTTCCATATCAAGTCCAGTAAAAGAATTTTCGGTGGTTCAATTTCTAGATAAATTACCTATTCCCAACAGTTCCTCTATATTTACGATTTTCTCAGGTTTTATCGGGCAGCTTTGCTGCAAGTATAAAACAGTGAGCAGTGCTTATGTTGCAAACTAGTATTTGAATTCAAGATCAAATGAAGTGAAATTAACATAATACAGTTGGTGCGTGCCCTCAAAAATTTAATTTCAAATTGCTGTACCGAGTTAGGATTTAGGAATTCTAAAGAACATATGGTTTCTGGAAGCACTGTGGTTGCAAGACTTACCTAATGAAGTGGTTTTGGCTTCCTCCTAATGAGTGAGGCTACTCAGGGAATCCCTTTTCTCATCGTCATACTCTAAATTTTCCTAAAATTGGTTATGGTTGAGATTTGAACAACACATCCAAAGAATTAGGTATCAGGTAAGAGTACGGTTGAACCATTGGATGGGGCAAGGGAGATGGACATAAATGTCACCAATGAGGCAGTTTGAGATAGGTTTCTAGTTATTCTGGGTACCATTATATCTTCTCAGTAATTATATCTTACATCAGCATAGGCCATGAAATTAATCTGCAAAAGGGCTGAGCTTGAATTGCTTGAGAAGTGTATCTATACTACATAGGCCTCTCGCAGCGGCAGCTTGGTGTTAAAACTAAAAAGCAAGTAAGAAAAAAATATTCTTAATTAGTTACATTTATAGTTTCATCACAAATAAAAAGCAATATTTAGTATACAAACTTTTAGCATAATACACCTAAACATACAACCAAACATCTCCTCCATGCCATATCCACACTTCCAAACTAAAATATATGATTCTTTTCCTTTTGCCAACATATTCCCCAAGCTGGTTGCTTCTGTACAACCACGATTTAGTCGTAAAGATACATAAGTTAGATTACTTGAGAGAAAATTTTGAAGTTCTGTTAAGTAGCTCAATTCTTTTAAAGCTTTACACGCTTCAGATACTTATATTTCCTATCATTACTCTTATTTTATCCAGAAAAATCCAAGCAAAAATTTTCCAAATAATAGAACATAGGATAATATATAATGAATTGTCCAACCAAGTATGGATAGCAAGAAATTAAACACAATTCCTGCCAATGGAGATTACTCCGGTCTACAAAATTCACATGAATTATATTTTGGCTTTGAAGCAAACAAAAGTACACCTCACATATGATGGGGTTGAAGAGATATATCAAGGGTAGTTACTGATTCCAAAACGAATCCCTAACCTCACAAATGGAAACAAAATTATTATTCTCCTTTGGAACAGCGAGATCTAAGGACATTTTCCCAATCCCTAAATGAGATATAAAGAAATAAACCAAGAAGACCATGAATCTACCTCGATGGTCCAGATGAAGAAATCTAAGGGCTCCGGACTCCGGCCCTTACTCATCTCCCCCTTCTACCTGAAACAACCGTACAACCCCAAACCCAAAACAACACCAGGAAATCAAATTCCGCCCTCCTCGCGATTCCAAACCATACCGCAAGCAATTACCACCATGAGCGACTAAGTTTCAGCTCGAGCAACCACCGAAGACAGCGGTTCTAATGCGATCGATCGATTGATTCCACCGCCGGAGCTCGCCAAGACCAGATCTTGGGGCCGAAATCTCTCGCCCGCCCACCGCCACGAGAAAAGGACAAGGGGGAGCCGTCATTTTCCCTAAAAAGTCCTTTTGCAACTTCGTATTCTGATGTACACCCTTTGAGAACATATTTACACATTACCCCCTTCAGTACTTTTACCAACTCACCCAACTCAACAACGGGATGTATAAATAGATAGTAATAGTTGCCGATCTCTCATAGTGATATTTTTAGGTCATACCATCTCGATCGATATCTTTATATGATCTCTACCAACTCATCTCGATCATTGTGGAAGGATATATTGCACAAAAAAAGTTAATATTCCAAGTGTTGGTGTCAACAACCTGAAGTCGTGGTCTTGGGGCCAACACAGCTGGGTTCGGGTCCGAATGATTGGGGATCTTCCTGAGCGACCCTTGAGACTGTTGAGGTGGCCGACTGCGGTGGTACGATCGCGACGGGACGACTGCTTCCTCTGGAAGGGAACTCCTCGCCTGGGCACGCGATGGGAGGCGCTCCGTCTTCGTCCCTGCACACAAGTCGGGTCGGGAGGCTCGACCCGACCCCTCCGACAATCCAGTCAGTTGATAGTCACAGGGGGCTTTTGTCTTTTTTTCACCCTCCCAGTTTCCTCGGAGCGTGGGGTTTTTATAGTAAAGGTTATCGTTGCCTGATGTGCCCGCTTGCAAGGACTAGGATCGTACTCCTGGTAACGTCTGACAGCGATGTTGGCATGACGTGAAGGACTGAGTCTGAGCGGGATGTTAATGCGCCTCGGCCAGCGTTCCGATCTGTTCGACCAGGTACTATCAAGTCAACCGAGGCACGAGACGTCATCAGGGGCGGCTGACGTCAAACTGCGTCCCATCGCCATTATTGCCCTGTGCATTATGAAAATTCTATAAGGGTTCTTTTTATAATATAAAATAATCTAAGAATATCTATGTAAATGTTGTTGAAATTGATGTTATCTAAGAATATCGATTAATTTCATTAAATTTTTTGAGCTTTATAATTTGGGATGATCTGAAGATAAAAAAGAAAAGATCAGAAATAGCTTTTGTGTTTAGGATTTAAGACATCGATTTTTTAATTATTTCTGTAATAATCCGAAAGATATTATTTTATGGGTCAATCTGTATCAACCAAAAAGATGTTGGATCAATTGAGAGGTTATAAAAAAATAAAAGTATAATTGAAAATTGAGAAACTATATTTAGTCAAAATATTATCTATGAAGTAAGATTGTCAGTTGCAAAAATGGATTGCCAGAAACAATATCCTTATTTAATGAAGATTTTACATATACATTCTTCTAAATTTGGAAATATCATATTTGCTCCTAAAAAATTTAAAATGATCAATTCATCATAGCTTATCTTGCTAGGACGATTGATCATATTCTTTATTGGCAACTAATTCAAGAACACCAACTCCAATAAGATATCACTAGACTTATTTCCTATATTTACAACTCAATCAAAACTCTACTTTCAAGTCTGTGCTTCTTTCTAGAAAGAAAATTGTCCCTCCTCCTCTGAAAATACTGGATTCTGGCCTCCCTGTATGCAATTGGAACTTGTCCCCTTTCTCCTGGTGGTGTTGAATCATTGTAGTCACTACCAGAGAATCTAATATTTTGTCCAAAAATATAAATAAAAAACATCTAAATGAAAAAAGAGATGAAAATATAACACTTGTATTGACAAAACATCACTTAGCCCATACAGGGTGGACTCTGGCTTCAGATAGGCATGGAAGGGCTGATAAATCTATTCTTCATTTTCTTCTCTGAATTGGTACATGACTTCCGAAATACTGCTTTCCTCTGGAGGAAGAGTAAAAAGGACTCTCAGGAAGTTCAATTTGGCTTCTGCATACACAACAAGAAGAACCAAATCATATGAATTACGTAAACTGAACATAGTTTAAACTTTAAACAAAGCTGTTAATCCATGAACAATTTAAACTTATGAGGTTTCATTGCTTTCCATCTTACTACAGTGGAGACAATCAATAAGGAATGGCAACAGCAACGACAAGCAATATTGATTTTGTATTTATCATCAAGCTATAGACTACTGTGCAGTAAAAGGAAACCAGAGATACATATGTAAGACTCAAGCAGATTGTCTGATTTTAGTTTGGGTTGATGGAAAGAAGGATTATAATCTGCAACATAATATAACATGTAGAAAATTTTCTGCAAAACAACCAGCCTAATGCAATTCTATTGTAATCTAAGCAGCAAGAACCAAGAAGAAATATAAGAAAAACCTACTCCTGCAGCAATCGAACTTAGTAATGAGTTTTGAGGCTTTGATCAGCTCTAGAACTCTTCATTTTTTACTCAAACAAATAAATGGGGAAGCAAAAAAAACACCCTTTCTGACTGGTCACTGATGCACCAGAAAAGATAACTAAATGCATCATATTGTTTCTATCAAACTAAAAAACTAGCATACCAAATAATGTGAATAAGGTAAAATGTCAAGTTAAACATAGATGTAGGACCTAATCTAACCAGTCTTACACTTCCCTCTGTTTCAGTATTCCTGCTGAAGTGAAGAGGAAGCAGCTATGATCAACAAATGAGAAAATATAATTAGCTTCTAATAGAACACTTTGTTATGGCTGAAAATTAATAAATATATGCATCTGCAAGTAAGAGATACTTGTATTCCAGATTAAATAATTAATTAATTATCTGTGTTTATATTAAACTTCTTGGTTACCTATTTTCAGTGCAACTGTTGCTGAATTCATCATCAGTGTTCAAGCCAGTATTGATAGCACCAACTGCATGACATTTATTAACGACGGGAAATTTGACATAGCCTGACAATGACAAAGTATAATTCAGCCTCTAAAAAGTTAGAAAAGACAAAACAAGCAACAAAGTAAAAGAAAATACCTACTTATCTTATTTTTTTAACAACCTGAAGTTTTCGGTTCCGTGCCATAGTGCAGCAATGGTGTCTCTGTTGGTGTCCTTGATGCAATGTTAAACTTAGAAAGACACATTCTGTCATCTTTAAACATCTTTTCATGCTCCCCAATCAGCTGCTCTCTGAGTTGACTTGAATTAAGATCTAGAGGCACTAAATGAGAAACATATCAGGCAAATTATATACACAGATAAATCATGCACGCCATGGATTAAAACCTCGATTCTACCAATCGATACAAGCCGGTATCTACTGGTTCAACAGCCAACCAGGATGCTGACCAGGCAATTTCACTTGGTTCATTTTGAAACCAAGCTAACAGCCCAGTAAGCTTATTGGGCTGGGCTCACCGGATAATAAATAGACTGATGAAATGCTATATCATGCAATAAATCTATCAGCCGATAAGTTTCAAAATTTTCAATAGCTGTAAGAAGTTTTTTTTTTTTTTAGCCTTCTTCTCTCTCTTACCCTATGAGGCTCTATCTCTTCCCACCTCCATTTTGCCGCCTCCTGTGCATTTAGGTCATCACCTCCTCTCCCTGCACTTCCTCCTCCACCCCATCCTATTCCACCACCACCTCATCCTCCTCTATTATTCTTCCTCTCTAATTCGGTCGCTAGCAATCGATACCAACCCATAGAGAGCATTGGTCTGCCACCTTGTATCGGTTCAGATAAAACCGAGATTTTAATCCATGATGCATGAAATGAATGACCTCAGCATCATATTCATCCTAGGCAGTGGATACTCACTTAGAGGACAATAAGAATTCATCTGAAGATTAGGATAACAAGTCGTGGGCTTTGTTTTCTTTGTATGCGTTCTGCAGTGTGAGAAATTCTACAGATGAATCAGATCTTAAAGCTAGAAATTTAAGCAAATTGAAACACAAGCATCAATCCCAGTAACAATTTTTTCAGAAATAAAGTAGTTATTTTTTTATGACGCCTAACCTGTCATATCATACAGTTCCTTTTTTGAAATGTGATAGATATTTGAGCTGATTTTTTATGTTAGTAGAAGATAGAGAAGACATTATTAGTGTATATGCAATTACTAGTAGAACTCGTATGAACAAGTACAATAACAAAAAATAGGTAAAACAAAGCTTAGTATAACATGAATGGATAACATTTTCAGGTAGAATACACATTTGTTTTAGCCTACCTGAGATTTCTAATGGAAACTACAGCCCCTCTTGATCCACATTAGGTAAAACAATCCTCAACTTTTTTTTATTCGTTTGCATATAGCTGAAAGCTTCCAATTATTTGCAAATTAAGATTAACCATGTCGACTTTAAGTTCAAGAATTTAAAATTGTACCATAATATACTGCTAGTTCCATGAATTTTAAACATGGAAAACAGGAAAGAGATCTAGTTGTTCTAACTCTGACATTCCTTTACCAGTTTTTGATTTACTGAATTGTGAAATTCATCAAGATTTGCCATATATCCTGCATCTGCAATCAAGGGTATTGAATGTTTGATCAATTTACTCTGGCAAACATAGGCATTAGGTGTATAATTAAAATAGAAGTGAACTATGAGAACCATTGCAGAAGTTAAATTCAGACACTCAGTTGTGTTGATCAAAATTCATGAGCCTAGCATGATACTGTAAATCTTTAACAGCCTATTAAATTTTATGACTGCTAGTTAGAAATAATTGAATAACTCCATACCATGGGTCCTCCTAAATATGTGTTTCAAGGACCTTTAATGAATTTAATCATGTTGTGATCCTTTAGTAGCTTTGATCGACTAAAGTTAAACATATTGGCTCCTAGATACAAAGATTGTAGATCATTTAATCCATCCAAATACTTATCAGACACTAGACATCAAACAACTTTCCTAAAAGATACAACAACTTTTGAGATAACTTTAAATTCATAGACAGTGAATACCAGACATGCTAAGCATTAGCCCGTTGGTCTAACTAATCCTGATACTTTAAACACATGTACAGTGTGCAGGTGACTGTTCATGGTAACCTTGCTTAACCATCTTTAATTGCTTAGGAACAAACGATGATGGAAGGTTTAAGCCTGAAATAAACCATTACAACTTAAAAAAAAAATTGATTATAATAACCAACACGGAATAATAAAAGAAAAAAACATGCTAAATTGGGGGAAATAACCTGCCAGTAGTCCTGGATTTTATTTTATAGGGCTTGACAAGGACGCGAGCCCCATCAATAAAATGAGGATTCGCCTTCATCAAGACAGCACCAACAGTTTCTGGTCTGACAAAGCTCACAAATCCGAACATGCGCTTGTCTTGGTAAGGAATCCTCACATCTTTTACTGGACCATATTTCCTGATAGTGGTAATAAATTATTAACCATTGGGGAATAATAAGGGAAAAAAATCCAAGTCACAGAATTGGCAGTGTCAAAATGATTACGAGAAATAGTTTGAGACACCATCAACAGTGAATGTGCTTTCTGCTGGAAATGTAAGATAAATCTGATGAGAACTCGAAGATGCTGTGCCTGGATTAGTTCTCTCATTCGTGGACTTGTATCTTGGTGCATCTTCTGCTAGAATTATGTAATGCTCTCCATGTGCTCTAACATTCAGCAAAGAAGTATTGAACACAAATTTGCAACTGCAATTGATATGAATCAATCATAGGCGAAGAATCACTTTCACTTACCTAGCAATGACAATGATACTATCCTTGAAGTTGATGAGCAGCTTTATCAAGCTGAAACCAGTCTTGTCATGCCTTTGGCTCTCTGTAAGATACCCCTCGGTTAAAAGGTGCTTGCCATACCGATCGTAGTATAGTTTAGGCAGCAATGCAATAGAAATAGGCCCTTCCAATCTCAAAAGCTCTACAATTTCCCTTTCTATCTTCTCAAGTGATCTAGGTGTGGCACCTTCGTCACAGTTTGCAGCATTGTTCATGTCACGAATAAAATTCCAAGGGTAGCCATCTGACAAGGATTGCTCATGCAAGAACCCACAGCTTCTGCCATGCTTGCAGTAACCCTTGTTGAAAAAATGGCACACCTTGCTCGACTTTGAAGGACTGCATGATCTTCTCCTAGTTCTTAAAGTCAGCTTACCATGGTGTGAAACTTCAGGGAGGCAGTCATTTTCCATCTGATTGGCAATTTCTAATTGCTCCTTCAAACCGAGAAAATTAGTGTGTTCATCAAAAGAGTACTCATCCACGATTAAATCTTTGTATGGTGAACACTGTCCAGAAACATGCTGAAGATTCAAATAGGGTTTTGGAACATGAGAATTGTAAGAACCATGATGGTTGGAACCAAATTGCATGTCAGAGTTGGAAAGCATGGACTTAGCATCACTTATTCTTGACACTAACATGTTGTCAGACCCCAATGCTAATTGGACCAATTCTTGATTGGTAGGCTCCTTTAAGAAAATACAACCCATGATCTTGAGCGCATTCTCTGGATCAAGCTTTTGAATTCTACTGAGGATTACTTTTGCTAATTCCGAATTGTCCATATCATACTTTGTAGCCTCTATGCACATAATGAAGAAAAAATTAGAATGAAAAGGTAAAATAAAGAGCTTAAGCATAACACTTTTAGCAAATCATTTTGCTGCCCAACAACAATAAGAACATGATATGAACAGTGTGTAAAACAACAATCTGCCACAACATGGTATGTTAATCTTTATCTTTTAGAAAAACAACATAATATTATATTTCTTTAAAAAAAAAATATTAATCTCCAAGAGTAATGGTGTCCAGATGTTGCCCAATGCAATAAACTATGTTACAAGAAGGCAAAAGATCTAGGGTGTTATTATCAGGGTCTGCCGTACCGAGTTGTACCGCCCGGTACGGGCGGTACATACCGGTCCGAGTGAACTATAGTACTGTAGCAGTGCTACAGTACTCGGCACACCTGGGTGTACCGCTCGATATACCGTACCATACCGGTACCGAGCCCAAGTCGAAATACCGGTACGATACGGTATTACGAACCTTTGTTATTACCCATCTAATAGACCTGAAAAATGAAATATTTCGTAAAAGTTTTATCAAGCCCTCTTTTTGTTTAATTAATAAACAACTAAAAATCTCTTGTACAAATAGCCACCCACTGTCGAAAATAATAAAATCTTTCATTGATGATGAAGGCTGAAATTATGTAACCAACCAAATTATAATAATCTGTCAAAGAAGGATCTTAGACAAAGATTATATTTCAAAATGTACATATGAGGCTTCAATTCCTTGTTACAGAAAGTAATCTATTCTAAACAATCTGCAATAAAAACTCCACTGCAATGAACATAATTAATATGCATGGAATAAAATATACAAAAATATTACTCAGGAAACAACTGTATCAAACAGAAAAATGAATCTTTGCATAGCAGCATAAAATTCCGACTGTACCAAATTGCAAAATGAATTTGTACTAAATATAGGAAATAATGCATAAGCATCATTGTATGTTATTATGTGACGATGAAAGTACAAAAATAATTTCTTACTTTGCACATGCATCATTCTATGTTACTAGTCATCTAATAGACATTAATAATGAAAGATTCCATAAAAGTTTCATCAAGCCCTGTTTTTGTCAACTAATAAACAATTAACAATCAATTGAATAAATAACTACCTGCTGTCGAAAATGATAAAATCTTTCATTGATGATGAAGGATTTTATTATTTTTCATCATCAATGAAAATATGATGGCAATACTTTTTATAATGTGATGGCCAACTTTGATTAATATGGATGAGATGATGATTTATGACAATGTTTCTGATCTGATGAATGACCGGCAATGGAATCCATCCATCCTAGATGAATTCCACCCTTCTCTTATTAAATTAATATGTAACGTTCATTTCCAAATTACTCCAATGATGATTGATGGATATGGACTCCACATTCCGAAAGTTTTGTTAGTGCAAGAGGTGCTTACCATTACCTAAGGGGAGGCAAGGTTAATGGTGACACAAATTGGATTGGTTGGAAGGTGAAATGGACCCATCCAATTTACCCAAAAATGAAAATATTATCATGACAATTTCTTTGGAAGAGATTGCCTACTTCAAACTCCATTGCTAAAATTTTGCATACACAAACTGAACGATGTTCCATTTCTCATTTGATTATGGACTCTTGGGTCTTATATCTTCTTTAAATGTTCATTTGCCAAGCAGTTCTGGTCTTTAGCTTTCTGCACTCTTCTAACTTTTTTTTCCAGAATTTCTCATCTTAGGAAGTGGGCTCATGGTGGCAGGAAGGCCAAAACCTTAACACTTATAATACTAAGTTTACTAGAGCTTCTATTACTAATTCCTTATAGTTTATAATACAACCAGAATGATTGCCTCTTCTGCAACCACCATGTCCAACTGCTTTCCATCTGGTGTAAGGTTACTGTGGTCACAAACCATTATGTGCAAGCTGTAAGCATAAATATTCTAACACAAGCTTCTGGAAAGACTACGTTAAATACTAAACCCTTATTTTCCCTTCGACTTTATATAAAAATTATTAGTGATTGATACTAAATCCACTCTAATACCATTACAAATTATCACGACCTAACTAAACTGTTAGAAATCAGGTAGCCCATATGCTTAACCTCAGATAATGGCATTATATCAATCTAACCTTAGAAAGGAATTCTGTCCCATACCAATACCAATTACCACAATATCATTAATCCGTTTGAAATCACGTGACCCAAAATACTTAAGTCCCAATTAATAAATCATATCCCATTAGCTTTGAAGTGAGATTAGATTGGAATGTTATTATCTTCATCCAAAAAAAAAACAAAAAAAAAATTGAGCGCAACTCAGCGCTCAGAATCGTCAATGACACTAAACCGATTCCATATTAAATATGGAAAAACAAAATGGAAAATAATATATATATATATAATAAATTATCAGATTGATGAAATAAATGCTGTCATGCCCAAAAACCAAACAAAAAGTCCCAGAAATAACTTAAATATAAACTTGGAGAAGGCTAAGCAAATACCATGCACAAGATGAAGGTCATCTTGTGGGAGACTGCCATCTTCTCCCTCGCCCTCGCGAGGCGGAGACACTGCCATGCACCTCCACAAACAAGAGGAGGATGAGCAGAAAGGAAGGAAGGGGAGATTGAAGATGGAAGAGAGATCGGACTGCCGACATTGTATATAAATAGGAGATGAGATGAGAGAGTCAGGAGGGAGTCGAATTGGATTGCGGCGGTTTCCATATTATGGCTTCTTATCCGTTTTGAAGAGGATATATTTTTTCGTTAATTTCTACTTGTTTGTGTGCGATATTTAATTAAGAAAATAATATAACAAATAGGGGCTCTCTTTTTTGTCCTTTTTTTTATTATGCATTCTTTTTTTTTTAGAGAAACATTTTGTTTTTTCCATGAAAAATAAAAAAAAAAGATAAATATTCATCGAAAATTAAAGATTAATTTGAATGAGCAATTTTTTAAATATAGACTCTTTAAAAATTCTGTGTTTTCTGTTTCTGAAAATAAATTTAAAAAAATGAAAAATATGGTCGAGAATTAAAATATTAAATTGAAAGATTAATTTTTCTAATAGGGGCTCTTTTTGGTCACTTCAAAATTACAAGTTTTATTTTATTTTATATTATTAAGTTAGTAATAGCTCAAGAAAAAAAATAGTGCAGAGAATTCAAGACGCTAAGAGATAAATGTATACATGCGGAGATGTCATCTTTTATAGGCCAACGATTATGATATCACAATATATTTTCTTTTAGATGTCATGTACCACATCATAATTGGGTTGGCTAACTAGGTGTGCCTAGGCAATGCCATGTCATCATCTGGTGGGCTCTCATAGTCGACTAGGCACCACATGTCAAGCGTTAATTGATTACATATTATTTAATTAAATATTATGTGCCAAATTTCAATTTATTATCAAATCTGACTATATCATTTCTTATTACATGTATAAAAAATAGTTAACTTAATTCTACAGTAATTTGTTCACATAAAACACATGTGACGTTTAGATGATTAGAAGTACTAGGGTGTGTCGATTTGAATTATTTATGTAGGGAGCATGAGACATAAGAGACACGTGGACATTAAAGTAATACAAGAGAGATGCGAATAATATTGGTATATGTTAAGTTGAACTATATATTTTATAGGTATCAAAAGTATGAGATAGACTATGATATTAAGGTATGCCTATTTGAACTACCTAAGTAGGCATTTAGGAATACTTACCTAAATTGTCCCCTTGGAGTGTGTTTGAACCATATTTACATGAATGCAAAGGTTTTTAAGATGCATGAGACACATGAGAATTGTATGACATGGAACCACATGTGTAGAGATGTTAAATGCATGAGAAATATTTGAACTACCCATAAAGAAAGCGTGGGATGCATGAGATACATAAGGGTCCCGAGACTCGTTGACTTGAACTCCCGAAGATTAGTTCTTGAAATAAAATTGAAAGATTAATCTCTAAAATAGGTTTTCTTTTTCATCGCTTCAAAATAAAATCTCCACTTTCAAAACATATTTTTTTTATTTGAAATAAATTCTTTGGATTTCTTTATTATATTTTCTAAATTTTTAAGAAAATCTTTTTTTGACATAAAATAATAAAAACATAAGTATCAACCAAGAATTAAAGATAGAGTAGGAATACTAATTTTTTAAAATAGAGATTTTTTGTTATATACATATATAAAATTTTTATATCAAGTGTTAATGTCAGAAATGATCATCAATCCCACCGGATTAAATTCACACAACTTGGCCCATTCTCCTACACATGTCATGTTAGTGAATCAGATGAATAATTATAGGTGTCTGTATTGGTCACCTCATGTTCTATCTTCTCAAAAGTAATCTCTTCTGAGCCCAAGAATCTCGTGAAACTACATTAAGAGTATGCCGGAAAAGGCTCCTCTAACACTTCTCAAGAATGAGTTCAATGAAGAGAGCTCAAAAGACTTTGAATATAGTTATATGGCACCATCTCATCTTTTAGCTGACTAGGTGGTGTCATATCATTTCCTAGCTAAGTTACACTTATGGCCAACTAGATGCCATAAATCAACCCTAAAGTGGTTGCTTATGTTTTTATCGAATGTCATGTCTAGTTTTGATTTTTTTTAATCAAATTTAATTATATCATTTCTCCCTGATTATACTTTGAGAAAAGGACTTACTTATGTTGTGCCATAATATCTAACTCATGAGCTTAATAGTTATTACATTCATCAAAGATAGTTAACTAATATTTATATCTTTTGCCCAAGTAAAACATGTATAACGTATAAATGCTCGAGAGTGTCAACTCGAACTATCCACGTAAGGAGCATTATACAAGAGTAATATTTTGACATGCTAACTTGAATTGTACGAAGAATTGAATATAGAGACGTGAATAGGTATTGAAGCATGCCAACTTGAACTGTTTATGTACTAAGTATTAGATACATAAGAGGCTTGAGAGCGTCAAGGGTATGCCGACTCGAACCACTTGCATAACAAGTGTCTCATATAGGATATGTGCATATTAAGGCATGGTGACTTGAATTGTGACATATGTGGTAGGGGCATATTGACTCAACACACTAGAAGGTATCGGGGTATAGTGTTACATGCATGAGATACTCATAGATGAATGCATACTTGAAGAGACCCTCTTTCCATGGGTCAAAGTTGTTGTATCACTACTGGCTATTCTGTTTTAGGTGACATGCTGACTAGGTATGCATGCATGGCACCACATGTTGGCTAAGTTGCTGATATGGTGGCCCATTATCGCTATCTAAATGGGCCTAATGGCCAACTAGGCACTACTGTAGAGTCTTAATTGGTTGCTCATGGCTTGATTGAGTCACACATATCTAGTTCCAATTTACTATCAAATCTAACTATATCATTTCTGAAAAAGGGCTTGCTCGAAGCATAATAAAGTATTACACATATAAAAAAATAATTAAGTATTGATTATATGTTTTGCCCATGTAAGACAGATATAGATATTTGTAAGTATTAGGGTATACCAGTTTGAATTAGTTACATAGAAAACAGGAGACATGTAAGGACATCAAGAAGTGCTAACTTGAATTGCTTATATAAGAGGGTGTTGAACACAAGAAACATACAAGGGTGTCAAAGGTACGGTGAATTGAACAATTCGTATCATGAGTATCGAAAACATAGGATGTGTGATAATATTGAGGTATGCCAATTTAAATTACCTAAGTAGTGAATGTCGGATATAAAAGACAAACATAAGCATTCGATTATACTAACTTAAATTACTTTATAGTGTGTTAGGACATGTTGACTTGAATAGTTCATGCATGGGTGTAAGGGTGTTATGTTGTATATAAGAGATACACTTAGATCTCGAGGAATGCTGAACCTAAGAGTATCAAATAAATGAGATACTAAGTGCATTGGGGTATGCTAACTTGAATGACGTGTGTGGTATGTGTTAGACGTATGAGTCGCATGTGCACATCGAGGTGTGCCAATATAAATCATCTACGTAAGGACTCTTGTATAAATGAGATGTGTGAGAGTGACTCGAATACGAGTGTTGAATCATTAGAGTATGAATCGATATGATATCAATTGTATAAGACATGTAAGGATATTATGACATACTAACTTGATGACTCTGATATGTGATTATTTTTTAAGATAAAATTAAAAGATTAACTATCAAAATAGAAGCTCTTTTCTATCAACTAAAAAAAAGCTTTAAAACATCTACGTTTTTTTTATAATATTATTTAGAATTTTATATTATATTTTTTTCAAAAAGTTTTGATATTTTAACAAATAATTAATAAAAATTACTTTAGTAAGAAAACTAAGTGTCAATCAAGAGTCAAAATCGGAAGATTAATTTTTTGAAATATAGGGTTTTTAGTCAATTAAATAATTTTGATTTTCTTTTAATGATCGCCAACCCCATAATGTGGAATTGAGACAACCTTTGTTCATTTACTCATTCAATTATAATATGATTATCTTCATTCACTCAAACTAGATTTAAATTATCTAACATATTTTTACTCATTTTAATAACTTCCTTCAACCATCTAAACCAATATTTTTCTTTAATCAAATTGTATTCACAACATCATATTTAAAAAAAAATTAAATGCTTACTAAAGTCAAAAAAGGAAAATCTTAAAGAATGCTTCACCTTTTATATCTAGCAATCCTTAAATGCAAAAAAATAAAAAGGTTCTATATATTGCTCATCACAAAAAGAGTCTTCCATATAGGGGAAATGAGCTATCTATTTAGTTTCGCACTTCATTCTTTCCATGATCTCAAAAATAGAGGCAATAGCTAAACTTGTTCTTTGGCTACTTGCGACGATAAGCTCACCTCCAGAGAGGAAGTGCGAGGTTCGCTGACCCGCGGGTCCCGCAAAGGACCTGACGGCTTTCGAACCAGAAGGCAGGTAGATGGACGGGTACGAAACATAGGGCGGCAAAAGTTTCACTCTCGAGCTACCGTCCGGCTCCGTCAAGTACTACAAAGACGGAAGGATAAGATCCCACTCCCGCGCTATAAATAGGGCCGCCTCTTCGGCCAGGATTCCGCCGGCCGCTGCTCCTCACCAGTTTCAGTTTCTCCGCCGCAGTTCCATGGTATCGATCCGAAGCCCCGGCCCCTTCGTCTGTTCTTTTTCTCTTTTTTCCCCCTTCTTCCCAGTTTCGAATCAAGATCACGGGGATTTGCACTTATCGAACGAGTTCTGCTTCGTTGTAGGGTTTCAGTCTCTGAGCTGCGATCCTGGATGTTGATGTTTTTCTGGTTCTTTTGTGTGTATCTGTAGATCTGCTGATTGACTCTTGAATGGATTCGACGAATCAGTACCTCAAAGAATCGAAAACCTCGTATTTCCTCGTGATCTGTTTCGTCCTGGAGTTCATCTGAGCGACGGGCGCCTCCCGTTGTGCTTTCTCGAACGACATCTCCGTTGCGTCTGGCTTTTCGTCGATCGGTTGGGGGACGCCGCGGGGGAAGCGTGTGAAGTTAGGGTTCTTGACCGATGATGCCGTGCCTGAGGCCGGATCCGGCGGACGTGGACGCGGAGCCTTTTGAGGAGATCGATCCCTCCGGGCGGTACGG